TCCACCTCCCCACATCAATTTTTTTTCAAAAAATTAAAATATATTTCAAAATTATAAAATATCTTTTTTAAACACCATCCCTACACTCAATCCCCCCCCCCCCTCCGCCACCTTATTTTAAATTTTTTTGTTTTTTTGAAAACTATTTATGGTTCACGACATAAGTCAGATCTTAAGGTAGAATTTTGGAACGGTCGTCGAAATTCTATCCTAGTTCGGGTGTTAGCTTCGGGTCCTAAATCGATTATTCGCGTTGATTTTCAAGAACTTTTTTACTAAAGAGTATTTTCTAGTCTCAAGTGAAGATATTTTCTGGAAGATGTTTCATTTACCAACCAAATATTAAAAAAGAATTCTACTCACCAAATAACATGAGAAAATAACTTAAAAATTCATTTATTTTTTTCAAGAAAACATTATGTAGGAAAGCACTTTTCAAGAAACACATTTTCCTTCGTAGAAAACACACCTTTAGTTTAACTATCTACCTTTATTTTTAAGCATGTATGAGATATATCTATTTTTGTAGGCTGGTAAAATTCATTGTTTCAATACACTATGTCCCGGCTTTGTACAAGTAAACCATGACTTCCCTCTTGATTATTCATTCATGCATATTATTTCACAACGTGGAGGAAAAATTTGGAGTGTGGAAGTGCACATTGATCGGGTACATTTTATATTGTCTTTATTTTTCTTATTTAGAGTCTTTGAATATTTTATACAGATATAGAAATTATAGTTAAGAGATAACATAATATTGTTATTGACAAGTTATTATTATTATTATTTTTTTGAAAAAAGGACTTATCCGGTAATTGGTGGCTTTTAATGAGACAAGACTTTACGCGAATAGGTTTCTGGCCACAAAGTCTCTTCACTGACTTGAAAAGTTTTGCTACGAATGTTGATTGGGGAGGAGTTGTATATAGTCCACCAGGTGTACCAAAACCTCCAATGGGCTCAAGCTATTTTCCTATTGAAAACAGTTCCTATGATGCTTATTGCGATGATCTTACAATTATCAACGAGAAAGGAGAAACAATTGAAGTAGATACAACAATCACACATACCGATAATCCGTACAAGGTTGAATTTATACAACTTTCACGTGGTGCAAAACACATATATTTTGTTCTTTATGGGGGACCGAGTGAAAGTACACATGTTTAATAGTAAAGAAGTCCAAATCCTGAAAGAAGTTGAAGAAAATTGTTCCTATTTGTTCTATATACACCTTTAGTTTGAATGTTATATGGTCTTCCAAAGAAATGCAAAGGAAAATTGTCCAAAATATCTCTCAATTTTCATTTATTTGTTGATCTTGCCATTACCATTAAAATTGAGTTATTTATACTCTTGATGTCTATAAACTTGTCACCCGTATCCCTCAATTGGATGAAAAACTCCAAATCAACAACAAAAAATTATTTTTGATAAAATTACTGGATTAAAAAAATCAATCGTAGCCCAACTAACCAGATAATTATTTGCCAAATTAAATCCGCAAATACATCTCTCTATTTTCACCTCTTTACAAAAATTCTCATCCATTTCTCCTCCTCATCTTTTCTCTTCTAAATTTGCTATATATTCTACTTACTGTGCGATCTGTTTTTCTTCTAAAATTATCATTTGTATTTCTCATTTTTTTCATATAAACACAATAATTTACTCATTAAGAAAACAAACAATTAAATGTGGCGTCTGGACACCGAGAAGGACTCATAGCATTCGAAATAACATAACATAGGGTAAAATGTGGAAAATTAATTTTTTTTACATATTGAGGTACACATAGACCTCTCACATACTACGTAAAAAGTTTACTTAGACTCCTCACATATGAAGCTTACATAAGTTTCTCATTCAGTCAACATAACCAATATAATAAGATTTAGTCTAGGAACATCGTCCCACATTAAACCATCTAAAACAAAGTAGAACATGTGCATAGCCCTTATACATATTCATATTTGCCACATTTTAATACACTTATAATACAATGTGACAATTTTTTACCAAACAAACATAATATATTTCAAAAACAATAATAATTCAAATATATCGCATACAATTCACTTTTAATATATATTACAGATTTATTACAATATTGCTATAAATGGTAATAAACAAAAAATCACTAAAATCAAAAATTATTACTTTAAAAATATATTTATTCATGTAATTTTTTCTATTATTTTCATCTAAACAAATTAAGATAGTAATTAAATTAATTTCTGGATATAACTTTTTTTTAAAAAAATCTAGAAAAAACAAGGAAAGAGAGTGAGAAAAAAGTAAAAAAAAAGAAATAAAAGTCAAAGAAGACAATAGAGCATGAATCCACAAATTAAAATATAATAAAATTACCCCTCGTAAATAAAAATATAATAAAATAACCCCTCGTACAACTAATACTAGTCGTACTTTATACGCAATAACATTTTTCATCTACTTTAGTGTAGCTCCGAAATTCTTAAATTCTAGATCATCAGAAGAACCAAACTATACACATGGATTACAAAAACAAGCCCTCAACAAAACAATTGTAATAAGAGTACGTCCTTTATTACAAATATAAAAATAGAATTGACTACTTACACTATATGAACAAATTTACTTTTCAAATACAAAACTACAATTTAAGAGAGCACAATAAAGTATGGGTGTGCAGAAATCGTACCGATCAATAAATCAAACAAAAAAAAAGTATTTAGTTATTGGGTTTTTAATGGGTTTATAAAAAAAATTATTGGGCTATTGGTTTAATATTAATTTTGGAATTTTTTTCAAAATGTCAATATTTTAACATTTAAGAGGATTTTCAAATAAAACTCAACTTTGATTTTTTTCCCTCCATAATCTTAATCTTTTTTTATTAGTTTGTATTCATTCCAATAGGTATGCCAAATGAATCTATAGTTATTTAAGAAACATATTTGTATTCATATATTTTTTCATATGTATTTGTTTATTTCTTTGAAAATTTTGTATTTCGTATTCATTTCAATATGTATTTTATTCGTATTTCTATTTATTCTCTTGTTTTTACTTAGAATATTGCATAATAATATATAAAAAAACAAAATAGTAGTATGAAGAAAAAGTGAGATAATAGTTTTTAGAGAAGGAAAATATCACTTAAAATTCTCATCATTAACAATTTAAAAAAAAAAACTCCTTTTTCATTAACTTTCCTTTGTTATGTTTTCATTTTATTTGTATACCAAATATTTTTTACATTTTATGTGCTCACTTTACCATTCAAACTAAAATTGATTTTTTTTTCTTTCAAACTACAAATTGTATTTCGGTGATCAAAATTGTATTACTTGATTACCATATAAATATATATACATGTATTTATATGATTTATGAAAGGGTAGAAGATTTTTGGAGGAAATAGCATACTTGGTGAAAATAATAAATTTTGTTGAGGAATAATATAATATTCTAAAAAAATAAATACAAATTGACTATGAAAGAAATAAGAATACAAGATTTTGAAAAACATATAGCATACATAGTAAAATAATATAATCAACATACAATATTCTAAAAAAATACAAATTAACTGTTGAAAAACATGATACATATATGTTTAAGAAATATAAATTCATATGAGATAGCGTACATAGTGAAAATGATATAATCAGAATACAATATTCTAAAAAAATATAAATTGTCTGTTGAAAAATAGGATATATTTATGCTTAAGAAATACAAATTCATAGGAGATACGTATTTGAATGACTACAAATAAAAAAGAAATACAATGTTCTTAATAAAAATACAAATGATGAGTAGACAAGAATAATTGACAAACAAAAATTAATATGAATATTATTCTGATATGAATACAATTTTGCAACCTTCTTCTTTGACTCTCTCTTTCTTCTTCGTCTACTATGTTCCTTTTTTAAAATTCTTTTCACCAAATTCAAATTTGAATCTGTGTTTATTTGTGAATTAATAACCATATAAGCAAAATTCGAAATTATTAAATATGAATATATAAAAAAGATCAAACAATATAATCTTATGTATGAATGCTTATATGGCTTAATACAAATTACAATCTACTAAATCTCAAATATGAAAATAAAACCATAAAAATAGTATTTCAAATACTAAAATTCCGAAATGCATAAATATTTGATCAGTATGTTAACAAACTCATATAAAAATTGAAAAAATAACAAAAAATTGTAATACATACAATCCAAAATTCAACATAATTTTTTATTTCGAAAACAAAATCTTATGAAATCTCGCAAAATAAAAGATGATTACGAAAATATCTTTATGTATTGAGAGATTTCTTGAATTAATCGATAGATCTGAACAAATTGATATGAACTTGAATAATTGGTTCTTCTTCAATAATGAGAGACAATAATGGTGAAAATGGTAAAAGAGAAATTTTTTTTGAAAATCTTAAAGATGAAAATAAATTTAATAGTATTAAAGTTTAGAAGAAGTCTAAATGGATAGTGAATATATTTAATGTTGGACTGTTTTGAGAAATAAAAGAAAAGACAAATAATAGTATTTACAAATTTATTTAAAATATTGACATTTTGACTAAATATTTTAAAGTGTAGATGTTTTTACTAATTTAAGTTAGGAATTGTGACTACTTTACTAATTTTTTCATACTATTTGGTTATTGGTTAAACCAATAACCCAATAAGACGATAATAATTTATAACTTTACCCTTCCTAAATATTAGATATTAGTAATTTCATATATAACTAGACATTATAACTATATCAAATTATTAATACTCTACCCACTTCACACTAGGTTTGCAATTGTAGCTATTTGATTTTAGTTTTAGTTTTAGTTTTAGTCTTGTTGGACTATTTCATATTATTTTTAGTTTATAATTGTAGGTTGTAACTTTTGCAAGTTTATGAAGGTCTATAATTTGATTTAACATAAGAAATTTCATTTTATATTTTGGCGGTCATGACATATAGTTATAGCTCTTGAACAATGTTTTCTCTTATTGATGTAATTTCTCATTATTTTTCTTGTTTCACTATATCAAAAATATTTAGAGAAATGAGAAGTCAAATAATATTTTACGGATTGGTTAAACCAAAACTGAACTGATAACGATTAAAATGATAAACCGAAAATTGATAAAGAATATCTTCTTGGTTTGTTATTGGGTTAACATATTTAAAAATTAAAAATCGATAATACATAAAACCGAATCACACCAACCGATGCACACCCCTACAATGAAATACCTTTTTTTAAAAATACATTATGCATACTTTTATTTATTTAAATAATAAAATTTATTTCAATTGAGCACCTTAATGTATAGATAAAATATTTTTATTAAATACTTTTAACTCTATATAGTAAAATTAATTATTTAAAATATGTGATATTCTTTAATTATATGCATTAGCCATTATAAGTCATCAAATCTCACATCTTTACAGATGAGGCTTATATGTTAATATATTTTATGTAATTAAATTAATTGTCTAATAGACATTTAAGAATATTCACAAAAAAAAATCCAGAATTTGAGTTGAAAATGCTTGATAGAAACTTTTTATCATGTGTTTCAAAAGCTCAATTTGAACCGATAGTAATTCTAATATTTAAATAAAATTGGGATAATGCACAAGTACCCTCTTAACCTATGTCCGAAATCTCAGAGACACACTTATGTTATACTAAGGTCCTATTACCCTCCTGAACTTATTTTATAAGTAATTTTCTACCCTTTTTAGCATACGTGGCACTAGTTTGAAAAAAAAGAGTCAACCTTCGTTAGACACACAAGATAGTGCCACGTAGGTCGAAAAGACGTAAAAAATTATTAATAAAATAAGTTCAGGGGGATAATAGGACCTTATTATAGTATAAGTGTGTCTCTGAAATTTCGGGCATAGGCTGAGGGTGTACTTGGGCATTATCCCAATAAAATTTACTAACTAGTTTAAGAAGTTATAAATATTGTTATTAAACCTTTTTTACTACTCTCCTTGTCCATATTAATATAGCATTATTTCCTTCTCAGACAATCTCATCTTATATTTGATGAAATTATTTTTAGTCACAGATTTACAAGATTAGTTTTGGAGGCATATGATCTTTGAACTTTTGACCTAGCTTGTCTAGGAACAAAGTTTCAAGTTTAACAAGTTCGGCATTTGATTTTAAATTCATATGACAAGTGAAGTCAAAGTTAAGTTCAAGATTATTAGATATCATTTCTTACAAATATTTACAACGAATCCCAAATAACAAATTTTGAGATTTTTAAACGTTATGTTCAATTGAACATTTTTACATAAATCGAGAGGGAGTGTCTTTAGGTCATCAGTTTATTATATGTTCCTCGTGATATAGAGTAGAATCTTATAGTCAATCTCAACTTGTTTAGAACTGAAGCTTAATTAATTCGAAAGTAATGATGCTCATCATGGACTACAAAAGCCAACACTCAACAAAACAGTAAAGTAAAGAAGAAGAAAACAAACATTTCAAATCTTGAAACAACAACTCAAGAAAGGCTACTTTTGATGCATAAGCATATTTTTATTCTATTCCAAGCCTCTCCCCAACAGGTTTCGCGTACTCGAGAAGCTTATGTTGGTCACTGTCCCTCTGCATACACCTCTTAAAGGGAAAAAGATGTAGTGATAAGTTATAATTACTCTACTTTGATTTGTGTAAAAATGAGCATATGGGCAATAGGTGAATTTGAGTTTTTTTTTAGTTTTCAAAAAGGTTACTCATGATATGAATAATATTTTTGATGTTTTAATAGTCTGAATATCTTGATAAACTGATCAAAATATTTAAGATAAACTAATATAACATCATTCCAAGTTAAATTTAGAACCATAAAACTAGATTCTATTGTGCTAAATGAAAATATTTTTGAAATAATCCCCTAATTGAAATGCGCTGGAAATATTTTTGAAATAAATGATGTACAAAATACCCATAAAACTAATAGGTCATCGACAATATGGTCAAGAGATAGAGGATGCCCTTTTGGAACTATTCCTGTTAAGAGAATGACAAAAGATGATCTGATAAGATTAACTCGTATGCCTCCTCCAGAGGATGTCACATTCAACGATGAATATGATGTTGTAAGATGATTATGTCAATTTACTTCTATATATCTTGTGTATTTCAAACGTAAAAATAAGTTCATTTTCTAATGCAGAGCAACAACAATAATAGGCCAAATGGAATATACATATCTTCACAAGGATATAAGGTGGTATATGACTATAGTTATTATTTTTTAATGTCCATGTTTTATTTGATTGGATTTGAAGTAATAAAGGAACAATTTATTCTTAGTTTAATTTGGATACTCTGTAAGATTTACTAAAAACAATTTAAAAAATTCAGGTTGCAATAGCTCAAATTTCATATAATCCACATAACAAGTTTGCGGGAGCCGGAATGATTACTGCTTTATACAATCCTCAAGTTAATGGACAACAACACAGTGGATCTCGACTAAAAATTCATAAAGGATCAGATATCTTACAAGTTGGTTGGAGAGTAAGTTTATATCAATTTTTTATTTCATTATTCGATCATTTTGTGGAAAAAGGATGTGTGTTAACTATTGAATTTTGTGCTTTTAAGAGTATATTAGAAAATTTGTTATCACATGTTGAATATTTAATAACTATAATATAATATCTCTGTTTCGTGCTTTAGGTGGACCCAACGTTATACGGGGATATTAAAACTAGATTGTTTATACATTTTCAGGTAACTATCTTTTGTACCATGGTGATTTTCCTTTTGAGTTCATTAAACTAGTATATCTTTTAGGGTGTGTTTAGTGTGTATTTATAATTTTCTCATGTCCATTGGATTAAATCTTTTAGAAAATGATTTCCAAATCAACTTAATTTTCTTAAATTTAAGAAATATGATTTTTCTTAAAAAATAAAGAAAAATATTTTTCAAAAGCCTACTTCATTCTAATATTACAATATTTTTTACTCTATCCCAACCGACCCTCCACATTAAATAATAAAATCTTACTTTTTTAATTTCAAATATTCTTTTACTTTTATCTCCAATCCCTAAACCAATCCCCCTCCACCGAAAAAAAATAGTTAAAAAATTCAAAAATTATTGTTTTGAAAAATATTTCAAACTTACAGACTTTTTACCTTATTTCAAGCTTACAGACTTTTTACCTCACCCAATCACTATCATGCCTATCCCCTCCCCCCACTCTCAAAAAAAGAGTCAAATTTTTAAAATTTCATTTTTACCCATCCCATACCCTAACTACGCAACCTCTTCCCCCCACACAAGAACCTCGTCAAATTTTCATTTTTAAAAATATTTTTTTCTTCATTCCCCACTCCTAATTCCTAAACCCCTACTCCAATCAGTTTTAGAAAATCTATTTTATGTCACCACTACCCCTCCGGCCAACTCCAACTCCTATCATTTTCTTTTTTAAAAAACTATTTTTTGTATCTCAGATTTATTAATTTTGATTTTTTACGTCTCCCAACCCTACCAACCCCCCCCCCCGTTAATTTCTTTTTAAAAAATTATTTTTATTAAAATAAATTCAAATATATAAAATTTCATTTTTTTATGTCAGACCTACACCCCCACCCCCAACATCAATTTTTTTTTCAAAAAAATCGAAATGTATTTCAAAATTTCTTTTTTTTTACACCATCCCTACACTCAACTCCCCCCCCCCCAATCCGCCCCCTTATTTTAAAAAATTGTTTTTAAAAAATATTTATGGTTCAAGACACGAGTCAGATCTTAAGGTCGAATTTTTGAGCGACCGTCGAGATTTTGTCCTAGTTTGGGTGTAAGGTTGGGGTCCTAGATCGATTATTCGGGTTCATTTTCAAGAACGTTTTTTTTTACTAAAGAATATTCTCTATCTCAAGCAAAAAATTAAAGATATTTTCTGAAAAATGTGTTTCATTTACCAACCAAACATTAAAAAAGAATTCTACTCACCAACCAACATGAGAAAATAACTTAGAAATCCACTTATTCTTTTCAAGAAAACATTATGTAGGAAAACATTATTCAGGAAACACATTTTCCTTCATAGAAAACATACTGTTAGTTTAACTATCTACCTTTATTTTTAAGCATGCATGAGATATATCTATTTTTGTAGGCTGGTAAAATTCATTGTTTCAATACATTATGTCCCGGCTTTGTACAAGTAAACCATGACATACCTCTTGATACTCCATTCATGAATATTTCACATCGTGGAGGAGAACAGTGGGGTATAACAGTACACATTGATCGGGTACATTTTATATTATCTTTATTTTTTTTATTTAGAGTCTTTGAATATTTCATACAGATATAGGAATTATAGTTAAGAGATAACATAAATATTATTATGATAACTTATTAATATTATTTATTTTTTTTTAAAAAAGGACTTATCAGGAAATTGGTGGCTTTTAATGACACCAAACTTTACGCGAGTAGGTTTCTGGCCACAAAGTCTCTTCACTGACTTGAAAAGCTTTGCTACGAATGTTGATTGGGGAGGAGTTGTATATAGTCCACCAGGTGTACCAGAACCTCCGATGGGCTCAAGCCAATTTCCTATTGAAAACACTTTATATGATGCTTATTGTACTGATGTTACAATTGTAAACGAGAAAGGAAAAACAATTGAAGTAGATTCAACAATCACACATACCGATTATCCATACAAGGTTGAATTTAAAGAACTTTCACATGGTGCAAAAGACAAGTATTTTGTTATTTATGGGGGACCAGGTGAAAGTACACATGTTTAATAGGGGTGGTTATGTATTATATTCATATTGATTGATTGAGATTCATCATCATTCCCTCTATTGAAACAATATTGTGCACATGCATAGAGATGAGACTGAGTATAAGTTGGGCACGTGGAGATCGTCCGTGCTGGGGATGGCGAGATGTTAAGATTGTAATTTGGGCACGTGGAGACCGTCCGTGCGAAAATTGTTTGATA